TGTGAAAGGATGTGGAAAAGAAGAACTGAATTGATAGGGCGGGATAAGGAGGCAAAGGCAAGGAAAGGTGGAAGGGACACAGAGAGGGAAGGGCCTTGACTCTGACTTGCTCAGAAAATACCTCTCCCTCAGTAGAAAGGTGGCTGCCAGGTTCTCCTCCAATGCTATTTCTGAATCAACAAGGTCAAGGAATAAAGTGGGGGTGAATCTTGGGAATTCTTTTCCTTCCTTCTCTACTGTGGCTTATTCCGCTCTGACTCAGGGGACAAGACTGTGTTGTTGACTCCAACCTCCTCAACACTGCAGAGTGGAAAGACACCTTCATCCTCCTGCCAGACTTGAATGTCTATGTTCCTTTCTCACTTCTGGCACTTGGACCAGCACTCAGAAATGCTTCAGAGAACAGGACACTGTCTGTGTGCCCCTGAGGTTCCTCGGAGTCTTTCTTAGCTTATAGGCAGCTGTGCTGCACCATTGCAGGTACTACTATAAAATCACCTTTCCCCTACTCTGTATCTGTGTGATTTTTTAAAACACTTTTAGCTTTTATTCAGGTAGACATTCAGACTGAGCATGCCCACCAAAAGCAGTGACCATCTTTCAAAAGAAGATGAGGGTCTTGCTGGGAGAAACTGGCAAGAAAAACTTCCATCAATACTACAAGAACATCATTCTGGGCTTCAGGATGCCCCAAAAGGCCATTGAGGGCACCTTCTCAATACCTTGACTAGTAATGCCCCTTTACTGGAAACGTCTCCATCTGAGGGCAGATCCTGTCTGGATGGTGACCAAGATGAAGACGTAGAGGAACATTGTCATCTATTACATCTATCTCCACTACATGCGTAAGTGCAATCACTTGAAGAAGCACAACAAGAACATGTCCATGCACCTGTCCCCTGCATCAGGGACGTTCAGATAGGTGACATTGTCACAGTGGACAAGTGCTGGCCCCTGAGCAAGATGGTGCACTTCAACATGCTCAAGGTAACTAAGGCCACTGGCACCACAAAGCAATTCTATAATTCTGAGACTGAATGTCTGCCCACTCCCAAAAATGAAATAAAGTTATTTTTTCATTCTAAAAAAATTTTTTCCAATGATTTATTTGTTAATTTCAATAAGAACTGTCACATGCTTAAACATATAAACAGTACAAAGTATTGCATAATAATAAAAAAATTATTCCTCCTACTCTACATTTCCCATACCTTGATATGGTATCATGCCTTCACCATACCACAAATGGTAGCAAAATACATGTATTATTTTGCTCCTTGTTATTTCATTAGACAGAATATCTTGGAGTACATTTCCTATCAATATGTATGTATCGTGTCCATTGTTTTTAATGGGCACATAGTATTCTATTAGATAATGTTAGAGGCAAGGACCCTCAAAGACCCTCAACTCCCCTATGACTCGTCCTACGCACGGACTTCGCCCTGGAAAATTCCAGCTATAGCTCCGAGAAGAATGCATTCCATGACGTGCTGACCACGGGATGCTCCAGGGAGTGCTGACTGCAATTGTTCCCGACCACCTGCCAGGTTGGAGATGAGTAACCAGTCAAAAACAGGATACCAATAAGACGCTGATTGGGGCTGATTAACCCAGACCCAAGCCTCATCGTCGCCCCACTCTATTTTTTGTTTCTACTTCCTTGTTTCGGTATGCTTATAAAACCTACTAAGAATCTAAGTAAAGCAGACCTTGACAACAATTTGCTTGGTCTCGTTCCTTTCTCTCGCCCATCTCTTTCAGGCAAAGTCCCCCTTGACCCCCGCGAGTAACAGAAGGTCCCGTGGGTCGGGACAAGATAAATATGATTAATAAAATGATTTCCTTATTAATGGATTATATTTACAAAAATGTCACCAACCTTTTGCTACTATGTGCAATAAACACCTTGTATGCACCTCTTTACAGGTGAGTCTGATGGAGTGGGGAGACTACTTGATCTTCTAGGGATTCTTAGACTCTTCACCTGTGGTTGGTTTCTGAGACATAACATAGGACATTATATTTATCCTTGCTGTCTTTTAATATTTCAAGTCAATACAGCATTCCTGCCTAGAGAAATGTTTGGAACCTATTTCTTGCCCTCCTATTTTCACATTCCTGCAAAAAAAATTGTCTTTTTCTAGTTTATTAGTAATAACACCAAGCAGGACAGGAATGGGATCATAGTTCTGTAGTGACTATGTGACTACTATATGTGATCATAGTGACTTCTTTTCATTTCTTATCATTAATATTAATGTTAATATTAACCCATATGTTATTTGACAGATTATAAACCTACTTAACTATCCTATTGTCTACCAAGATATTGTGGGATGAATTGATAACTTCTTCCCCCACACTTTCCCTCTGCCTTCATCCCTTCTAGCAGGGAGAGGCCTGGAATAATAACAATAAAGATAGTTTCATCGGAATTTGCTCTAGGATAGTAGAGTGAGCATGAGAGCAACTCTTTTTGTTTTCTTGTACATATTAGTCCTTCCTAGGGTTTATACTGAACAATTTAACTTTGTCAAGGAAAAATCATGCTTTCCCAATATTATACTTAATCGTATGCCCTGTTATTCTAACCCATGTGATTTATATACCTTACACATTTTGACAACAATGGCATTTCTTTTAGCATTCTCACTTGGTAAGAATATCACCTTGTAACCTTGTTCTCTTCTCTTTCTCTTCTTTGTTAGGTAAAAATGAAAGGGTTATTTTGGTTTACAAGCAGCAGCTGAGCTTGGCTCACTACTTCAAGATATCCTTACACAATGAAAAAACCAAATGTTATTTTGCTCTATAAACATATATTTGAAATTTTTCTTCACATATCTTTTATTTTTTGATTGGCTGTTTTTTATTTTTAGTTTTTAATCAACATTTTGTGATTGTACATATTTATGGAGTACAGTTTGATGTGTCAATGCATATATATTGTATAATGATCAAGTCAGGGTATTTAGTATGACCATAACTTCATGCATTTATTATTTCTTTGCAGTGAGGACATAAAAAAGCCAGAGAGCAACTCTTAACAGCAGGTGGTTTCTTGTAATTCAGCCAGACTCAGGTGAGAGCTAGACTTGGAGAGAGCCAGAAGTTCCTTCTCACCCCAGTATAGAATGTGTGTTGGTCTTTGTGAGGAGACCTTGCTTCAGAGGTGACATAGGACAGCCAGGTTGCTAGACATGCCATCCTGGACCTAGAATTTGGGGTGCACAATAGTCCATGCTCATGGGCCTAGAAAAGTGGTTCTCAGCTGGGGATATCTGGCAATGTCTGGAGACATTTTTTGGTTGTTACAACTGGGGAGTGGGGGGTTGCTACTGGTATCTCTTGTGTAGAGACCAGGGATGCTGCTAAACATCCCTCAATGCACGGGGCAGTCTTCTTCCTCAAAAAAGAGTTCTCCAGCCCCAAATGTGAATAGTTCCAGGTTGAGAAACTCTGGTCTAGAATTAATCCTATTCTAAAACTTATACCACTGAGTAGGAGAGAAGAGGGGACCGGGCCAAAAATATGTATCTGGTCAAACTCTAGGTTATATCCCTAAAGATTCTGATTTTCTGATTTCACTGATCTGGAATGAAGCTCCCTGGGTGACCTGTGTACACACAGGATTGAGAACTACTCCCTGGAGAGTCTGGTCGGATGGTGACCTCCTCCACTTTCTTAGACTGGGAGGTTATCCAAGGGTTGTTGGCTCCCTGAGGGGGTAGCAACAGTGGAGAAACCCACAAGAGATGGAGCAAAGTTCTCCCAAGCGCTAGAAAGGATAAGACAGAAGGAAGTTCAAGTTTGGGGCTTTTGTGAGAATTGGGAAACAGCACCCCTTCTGGATAAACACATTCAAAAACCTTCTGGGTGAGTGCTCCCAGGGCTCTCAGCCTCACTAACAGACCAGGCCACTGTGGCAAAGAGAAAGGTGCCCTTCTACAGTGGATGTGGCCCTTGCCAAGACACAGGGCTCTGTGAACCCAGAAGTGGCTGGATATTGGTTCACACTTGCCCCTTCCTCCAGGCACCTTTGTGCAGTGCCCAAATTGCATAACCTAGTGCAGCAGCCCCAATTGGAATATGCCCCATATTCCAATTGGGGCTGCAAGGGGGCAGGTACTGCCTTATTGGTTGATCAAAAACAAAACAAAACCAAAAAACCAAAACCGTGAAAGGCTTTCTCAAATGCCTCAAAGAAACCAGATCCAGCCTGCAGGCAGCTTAGAAACCCTATCCTGATGCCAGGATCCAGTGATGCCAGGCCACTGGGTGGAGGCTCCAGGCTGGTCTTGGTGTCTTTGGGGTGATTGAGAACTACCCAGGAAATGAGGGTATCTGGCTGCAGGAACCTATGGCTGGGCCTCGGAGCCTGTGAGTGAGACGGGGAGCTTTCTGTACCCGTGCCCTTCCATCCCCTGATCCTGGAAGGAGAACCTGAAGCTCCATCCTACCCCGAAGCACAGGAAGCACTCACTCGGTCCAGCCCTTGATTTATTTCTTTGCAAAAGAGAAACAAACAAACAAAAAACTGTAGTATGGACTTTGGCGCCAGCAGAACCACACATCTAAGTTCCAGTTCCCGCTCTGCCAGTAACTGGCTGAACCTGGGCAAGTTTTTAAGCGTCAGTTTCTTTTTGGATAAAGTGGGCATAATAATAGTGAACTTGGGGCATGGTCGTGAGAGTCGAACCAGCGAACGTGGCCATAATATCCACCCGAAGCAGGTCACTCTGGATTCCTTCGGTTGCCCCTTCTTTTTCTGAGCAGATGGCATCGTTCTAGATGCCGGGGATCTACGAGGTGGTTGAGCCACCAGTGTGTGTGTTCTGGGTGAGAGGACTCTCAAATGGAGCAGAGAGAGATACCTTATATTTCAGTTTGCTGGGGCACGTCCATCGCACTCTCTGGCCCTGGGGCGACAGCTTCGTTTCCAGAAGAAGCGATGGCACAGAAGGAGGGGGTGGGTGGGTCTAAGCCCCAAACCGCACAGTCTTCCAGGGAGGCGGAGGAAAGAGGGCAGGCCCCAGGCGAGAAGGAGGGAGGGAAAGAAGCGAGAGGAGGAGTTTTCCAGCCCAGCCTTCGCCTGCTCACAGTGCAGCCCTGCGGTCTCCTTGGTCTCCTCGGTCTCCTCCCGCCCCCTGCAAGCGCGCTGCGCTGCCCAGCTGAGCGAGGCGTCGGCTCGCCATGGGGAGCCCCGCACTCCGGCTCGCGCTGCTGCTGCCGCCTGTGCTGCTGCTGCTGCTGCTGAGTGTCCCGCTGAGCCGCGGCTTCCCAGGTACGAGCGGGAGGCTGGGATGCCTCCCTAGCTAGTCAAGGGACACCCCCGGAGCCGCCACTGGGACGCTTCGCTGGGGACGGAGGGTGGGGCGGGGGGCCGCGCTTTGTTTGCGCAAAACTTGTCTTTCGCAGCCCTAGGGAGGGGTGACGAGGAGAGGGGCTGGCGTCTGGGCACGCGGAGGGGAGAATGAACTGTTCCAGCTCCAGTAGCGGGGTGCCCTCACCGCGGTGGGAACCCGAGCACCCTCTGCCTCCGGGGTTCCAGGGTTCCAATCACACTCTCGATGGCTTAAGAGGCTAGGAGAGAAAGTTTGGCCGCAGGCTACTTTGCTACTTTCTCACACCCGGAATTTTGCCTCTCACACAGTTGCTTACGACCAAGGCCTGGGAGGCTGGCAGCTTGTTCTGGGGGAAGCCCCTACCACCTCGTACTCGAGGTCCCAGGCCGTCCCCTAGGGCCGCAGGGCACGAGCCATGGGAGAGCGACTCTAGTGGACAGCGTGGGCAGGCCTCCCCCGCATCCCCTAACCCCCCCTGCTGGGGATTCCGAGAAAGTCTGTGCTCTGAGGAAAACTTGCCAGCTGGAGAGTGGTGACATGTGGCATGCACTTGATTAGCTCCAGGGAAAGAGGGATACGCGCCCTGTCTCTGCTGGGCCCAGGGTGAGGCTTCTTGTTGCTGGAGGGTGTGGTCCCTATCCTCTAAGGCAGCGGTCCCCAACCTTTTTGGCACCAGGGACGGGTTTCATGGAAGACAATTTTCCCACGGACTGGGGGCGGGGGAGGGATGGTTTGAGGATGATTCAAGCGCATTATATTTATTGTGCAGTCAAACCTCTCTGCTAATGATAATCTGTATTTGCAGCCACTCCTCAGCGCCAGCATCACCACCTCAGCTCCACCTCAGATCATCAGGCATTGGATTCTCTTTAGGAGTGCGCAACCTCGATCCTTCGCATGCGTAATTTACAGTAGGGTTCGAGCTCCTATGAGAATCTACTGCCGCTGCTGATCTGACGGGAGGCAAAGCTCAGGTGGTGATGTGAGCAGGAGGGAGCGGCTGAAAATATAGATGAAGTTTCGCTAGCTCTCCAGCTGCTCACCTCCTGCTGTGTGGCCTGATTCCTAACAGGCCACAGACCAGAACTGGTCTGCCTCCAGGGGGTTAGGGACCACAGCTCTAAGGAAACCCTGGTGTTTCTTGGGGCTCTCATGGTGTGGGCAAAATCTTTGGAGATTCCCTTTAAAAAGTTCCAGCTAACTTCTTCACCCTGAAGTCTTAGATTAGCTTCAGGAGAGCAGGACAGCGTGCCACGAATCCCTGTTGCTGCAGAGTGCAGTGGAAATCCATGGATGCATTTTAATTTAGTATTAATGGCAAAGAGGGTGGTTTGTACCATAGGACGTGCAAATATTTGGTTTTGCATTCGAAACTGTGGGTTGTTTAAATCTGGGCTCTGAGAAATGAACCTACAGAGTTCTGGTAGAAGGATAGGGGATTCCCAGATAGTATGCTTGGGAGATGTCGGGATGGCTGCTGGAAATGCTCTGCACATCCCCAAACGAATGAATGAATAAAACAACTGTGGAAATTAATAAACAGGAACATTTGTCCTTTGAGCTGTCTCTTGTGAGTTTTAAGCCGTTTTGTAGGAACTGATTCAGGGCAAAGTGGAAAGGAGATGTTATCCTTAGTGCCAAGGGACTGCCTTTCCCACAGTGTGTTAATGCCCACCACACACATCCCCTTTAGCAGAAGTCAGGTTAAAATGAACCTAAGGGGGAAGAGGAAGTTAATTAAGTGGACCAGAAGTAGCCCTGGGAGAGCAGTGGAAGAAGGTGAGATGCTAGAGGCAGCCTTTCTACCATATTGGGAGGCACCTGTGAGCTACCACAGAACCCCAACTTCTAGTTGAGCCTTTCTCAGCAGGAGCCTTTTCTCCTTTTCCTTCTGATCTCCCTCCCCTCTTATCCCCTGCCCTCCCCTCTCTTTTGTCTCAGCTTCTACCCTCAGATAGTATAGCTTGCTGCCAGGGCCCAGCCCCCCACAATATCATGGGTTTGCCATTTGGGACACTCACTACTCTCATCTTTTGGGACCCGTCCCTGGCTTTCCTGGCTCCCTCTGCCAGCCTGCAGGCTGCCCCCAGCTGTGAGCCACTGTGCATCTCCAATGATTTCTGACCTGCCCTCTGGCTCTGCTCAGACCTCAAATGGGCTGAAGCTGATTGGAGCAGCTCGAGAAGCTCATCTCAATGGGATCTCTCAGAAAATGTTCTCTACTGGGGGCTGTCTAATCTGGAGGAGGGGATTTCATTCCAAGCCAAAAATTTTAGAAGGCTGGGGAGGTGGAAACTTTCTAGGCACATGGGTATGGATGAGGCAATCACATCAGCTGAGTTTACCCTAAGTGTTGGATGACAAATTTTAAAAAATCATTTCAGAGGCACTCTCTTAGCAAGTGAACATCATGTTTCCAGTAAGCAAGAAAGTGAAGGGGCATTGAATCTGGAACTTCTGAAAGAGGGAAATAAGGATCTAGGGCCCCATCATCACCCCAATTATATAACCATCTGAGCTTTAATAGCAAATCTGTCAGATGGAGAATAAATCATTCCCATTCCCACTCCTAGAATGTCTCTGGAGTTCTTCCATCTTTGAATTTGATGCAGCTTTCCTGGCCCTCTGATTTATTCTTTGCAGCCTAGCAAAGATGCATTGTCTATAATAACCCACATGAAACACATGGAAAGTTCGTAGCAAAGTTGTCTGTGTTTGATTATGTTTGTATGGTTATAAGAGATGAGAATATAAAAAAAAAGAGAGATGAGAGTTTTGGTTCTGTTCTTAAATGAACTCTTGAAACCTTATTTTCATGGAATATTTTGGAGGTTCACTCCACCTCCTTCCTTAGACAAGGCTGAAGATGGAGAATGAGTAACATAGCCTCTAAGAAAAGCTTCATAAATCTTCTTATATCTGGAGAAAACTGGTAAAGTAGGTGGTTTCACTAGTCAGGAAAACCAAGTGAAGTTTGCTAAAAGCCTAACTAGACTACATCAGCCAAAGCCATCTTTTGGAATACCACATTTGGAGGTAAGCATTAGGAACTGAGCACCTGGATCAGGATATACAATTAAGGTGTCACCAGAAACAGACTAGAAATTTCTATGTGTATTTAAACATGTAATCAGCTGACAAAATTACTCTCCAATAAAAAGGAAATCCGCTGGGAAGACCGAAACATTTTCATCTGGCATTTTCTTCATTGACTACACTTTCAGTACAGTGTACTGTTGTTACTACTTCTCATTTCACAGATTTGTGAGCTGAATGAGACACCAGAAACCATCCTTAAAGCACCATCTTCAAACTTTCCCACATCATCAGTCCTTGCACCATAATCAAAGTGCAGCCCTTCTTGTTTAGATTATTATCATAACATTCTCTTTTGGTCTCTCTCATTCTAACTCATTTTACTTTCTCATGCCAGATGATTTCAAGTATATTTACTTTTGTATCATTTTTATCACATTGCTTCCCTACTCACAAACTTAAGGCAACAGCTCCCTGTTCTTTCTCAAGTTAAGTAGACAGTTCTCAGCTGCTTTCAGGGGGCTATACAGTTTGATTCCAGCCTATTTTTCCAGTCCTAATCCCCTGAGTTCCTAAAATTGGGCCAAAATAGACTACCTGTCCTTACTGAACTTGAGTCACATTTTCCTTCTTGGAGGATGCTGCTTCCTGCACCTGGAATGCCTCCCCCTAGCCACTTGTCTATCTAAATTGTGCCCATCTTCCAGCAATACTCCCACTTTGATGAAACCTTCCATTAATTTCTCAAATGGGAAGCCATCTTCCTTCCTTTAAACACCCATGTCTAACTCACTTCATGTCTCTCTTGTGGTATTTATCACACATGCCATGCATTATAATAATGTATGCACTCTTTTACTTCTCCTCCTAGATTCTGAGCCCTTGAAGGCAGGGGCTGTGCTATGTCTTACCCTTATTTGCATTTCCTGTGGTGCCTAACAGAGCACATTGTGCCTAGTGGATGTTTGTGCTTGTTGAATTGACAGTTCCCTGTAACTCCAGTGATGGGCCATTGGATAGGAAAGGAGCTGAGAGAAACATGTGCAGAGGTAAACAGGGCTTTGTACCACTGTGAATCTACATACATAGAAACTATGGCTTGCTGGCTACAGAGGTTGCTTTTAAATCCATGAATATCCTCTGTTTAAGCAATCACCTTCTCTGCTGGGGGCTGTAAGATGAGAGACTAACTGCAGTCACAAGCTAGAGTTTTCATTTATTATTTTTGTTGGCCACTTTGCTCTGGGCCCTTCCAAAGTGGTTGAATGGTTTCCTTAGTAAATGCAAATATGTGTGCTACATCAATTCCCCTTTCAGAGAACACAACCTGAAATTGGTAATTGAAAGTGAAGAGATAATTTAAACAGTAGGTTTACTTTTGCCAGGCTATAGCATAGTATGAAATTTGTAGCAGGCAACTTATGGTTAATACCCAGGGTAAAGATTCACATCCAAGATTGCAGTGTGAATAATAATCTCTCGTGAATTCCAGTTGTAGGGAGTTTCTCAAGCCAGCCCCTCACTTCTTGACTGTGTGATTTTTTAGCTACTAACTTTTATGGGCCGTTTGTTATTTGAAAGGTGGTCTTTTAAGGTTGAATCTTTTTCTGGGAAGTTGGAATTCAGTTCTGAAATAGAATTAGTTTCTGCTTTCTCTAATGAAGTCTCTCTACCCAGAGACTTCTTTTTAAAATGGATACCGAATGACGAAGTAGTTATGTGGTTGGGAGACGAGGATGAAAAAGGTATGTAATTTCTTCTCTCTGGTAGCTTTCTGTCTTATGGAGAAATAGATGCAGAGTCATTTCAGGTGGTAAATGTTATAATACAAATGGGTTGACAGGCCCTGGGAGCACAGAGAAGAGCCATGTTGGGCCTGGATATTAAAGAATGATGCTGAGAT